TTCTAGAGGTAGTACTGAAAACCATTTTTGGGCTGCGCCATCTAAGGTTGTTTGTATTAACGCTGTGCGTCGATGTATCCAATTTTGATGTAGTGGCGTATTAATTGGTTCAGGTCCAATATTTAAAATCAGGTTTGCTGTTACTGCATTTAAATAATCTTCTACAGAGTATTCAGGGTCTGTTCCTGTGAAAACCATTAAAGGTTTGTTTGATGTTATTGATGATCCACCCATAAGGTATGGATTAATTGTCATTTGTAATGATTCTGCTGCATTTGGCATTTGAGAAAAATTTGAAAGTTGGTTTCTTGTTATTTCATGTTGTTGGAGATAATATGGGAGTGGTATTTCATTTTGCATTTGTGATGGTTGATACGAGTGTGCAGTCATTGGATTTTGTTGTTGAATTGGTTGAAAAGATTGTGTATTAATTAGATTTTGTTGTTGAATTGGTTGTTGATGTTGTGCATCTATTGATTGTGGAGAAAAATTTCTATGATTTGTACGTGTTCTCTGTATTCCTTGTCTACGATATTCTTGAGTATTTGGTGCAAATATATCTGGTTGTAAGAAATCATCATCTGAGGATAAATAATCCATTTGATAAGATGTCTGTTTTTTATTTTTATTTTGTTGAAAAAATGGGTAATTTTCACTGTGATCCTGTGGAGGATTTGTTTGGAAATTTATTGAATTAGGTTGGGTCATTGGGTTATCCCAATTTCGAGATCTTGTATATTGGTTAAAATTTCTTCGTGGTTGATTATATGTTTTTGATGGATGTGTATAATTATAATTATGGTCTGTAAAGTTGTTTCTAGTGAATGTTTTGTGTGTTTTTGATGGTATTGTCATGGGTCTGTATGTTTGGTAATCCATATGTGAATATTTAGGGGCAACCGAAGGTTTAACGGTTGATTGTAAGGTTACCTGTGTTTGTGAAGGATTTGTATTTCTTGGTGTTGTTAAATTTGGGCGTATTGGTGAAATACTTTGTTGTGTAGTTGTTGTGTGTACAATTTCTTCATTTATGAAGTGTGATGGTGTCTGGATATCTTGTTGAGTAAGATTCCTAGTTCCATTGAGGTTTTCATTGTGTATAACTGTAGAGTTTAAACTATTATTTTGTGTATCGGGCAAAAATGTATTATAGTTTAATGGTGTTGCATCAATGGTTAATGGTATTACTTTTACATAATCTCTTATGTAAGATATCGTACTTATTGCTTGACTTGAGATTGATTGTGGGAAGCTTATAAATGCGGGATGAGACCATTCGGGGTCCCAAACATAATCTGATTGTTCTGTGATAGCTGTATCATCGTTCGAGTTTTGGGGTCTAAAATTTTTTCTTGCTTGTGCAATTAAATCAATATTGTGTGTGAAATAATCTATTATGAACCATGCCAAAATTTTTTGTAGATCGTGTTTTGTATGTTGTGAAACGTCGTCTTTCGTGAAATTTTCTTTAATGATGTTTAAATAACTAGAGAGTAGTGTGATTTCATGTCGTACTCTTAAATGTTTAGATGTTTCTGTCGGTGAGACATTTGTTATTGGGATTTCGTTTTCTAATATCGAAATATAACTATATATTATTGCGAAAACTTCATTGGTGAATATGGAGTTTGCTCTTTGTGAGTTATGATATTGGATGCTTTTTATATATTCTGAAAAAACTTTTGAAAATTCTAAATCAAGATCGTCTGTTTGAATTGTATATTTTCTATTATTATGGTTTGGTGAGGTGAATTCTATGGAGTAGATTCCATACTGTTGCGTTATGTTGCATATATCTTTTAAGTAGTGGTCTATGATTTGTCTTTTGATTTTTACATCTGGGAACTCTGTTTTACATGGACTGATTCCGGGTTCAAATAAATTTAATAGTAAATTTTTGCAAAATATATGCTGTCCTCTATCAGTGGTTGCATCTACTATAAAAGGAAAGATTTCATCATCATCTGGACTTTCTTCACCTGGGGTGTGCGTTGAGCTCATTTTTTCGTTCGATGACTGTTAATATGTAATTATCAATGTGTCTAATTGGTTGATTCCAATTGTATAAATGTACTGGTTTGTGTTTATACTGCTTTTTTATTCTTCTTTTTCCTCTTTTTGATGAATTTGAAGTTGTTTCTGAGTCAGAAAAATATAATTGATCGTGAAGTGGGCAATTTTTATCTATTGATTCTTTTAGTTTGTAAAGTTCGTCTAAACTGTTGGTTTCTGATTCTGAAAATGCGTTTCGGTTTTTTGAAAATCTTTTTCGTGTTATTTGTCTTTGTTTCGTTATTATTTTTCTTTTTAGTGTTTGTCGTTTTGTTCGAATGTATCCAACTGTTTGTGTATGAGGTGTGATTACAAGGTCGTATTTTTTGTTATCTATTTCACAATTGTGTAAAACGATTGTTTGTTTATTTCCTAGGTTTTTAAATGACATAAGGTTTAGGATGACGGATGCAAAAGGTTGTTAAATGGTTTCTATTTTCTTAAACTGTTAGTTCTTACGATTTTTTTGTTAGCTTAACCTGGGTCTGTTTGTTCAGGGTTGGAGAGAAAAGTATATCGATTCCGAAGAATGATTTTTTACTTTCTCGTGGCTAGTATAAGTTAAGGTGTTAACTTACTTAATCTTACTTAGGGGTAGTGATTGTGTTCAAGGGTTGGAGAATAGTAAATCGATCCACAAGGTTCAGGTATAATTAGAACGCGAGTAGTTCGTTAGATACTATTTTAAACTTACTAAGTCTAAGATTTATCCTGGGTCTGGTAAGAGGGGGGGTCAAGTGAAGGATGAATAACCGAAGTTCTTCACTGTTTATCCTAATTTGAATGATTAGTTTTGTTTAAAAATTTCTATTAGTCTTAGGTCTTTAGAAAGGGTTGGGTAGTGAATCGACGTTTGAGGTCGTTAGACACTAATTAAGTGGGTGGGGGAGAACAAAGTTGTTCTGTTTGATCCAAGGATAAGCCTTGATGATCAAATTTGAAATTTAATTAAGTAGAAAATGATTTAAGATCCAAGGATAAGCCTTGATGATCTGGTTTTAAAATTAAGTGAATTTAAGTTTTAATAAAATTTTAAATGTGTGTAAAGGAAAGATTTAGTGTTTTGATGATATTAGTGGGTTTATGATTGCTGTTATGTTTTAGGTGATGGAGCTGGAACAACAGGATGATTTATGATTACTAACCATTTATTGTCATGCTACTAATTTTTATTTTTATTTTTCAATAAATATTTTTCAAACATGTTTTGTATATTACTGCAGAGTTTTAGGAAAACGATCTTAGATCTTTTTATCAATCGTTATTGTATATTAATAATTTTGTTTAGCGCCTGAAATGATTTTGAAGATTAACTTCAAGGTTTTATGTTTGCAAATGAAAATCTAAATTCATTGCCAGTAGTATTCTAAATATAAAAGTTTGTTCTGGTTTTTGCCTAACTATCATATAGCTATATGGCAAGTTTCTACTTTGTCGTATGTCGTCTCTGGTTCGAGGTCTTCTTCCAATTCCGGGTAGTTCTGTTATGGTTCGGAATATTGGCTCTGATCTATTGAGTCGTAGAGACATTTCGATTAAATTATTGTCGTATAACATTTTGTAAATGTTTTTGTCTAATTTCTAATCTATTTTGGTTAATTCTAAGCTATTAAGGTCTTGTTCGAGACTTATGGTCGCACCAGATGAGTTAGGACCGAGTTGGTTAACTCATAGAGTAATTTCGGATAGGGTACACCGTCTGCTCGTCACGCTATCTTATTTTCGGCCGGATAGATTCGTGCAACTTCTTAGTCTAATACCGATCCTAATCTTACTCTTATACTATCTAGTCTCAGGTTGTTTAACTAGTCTCTGCTAGGCTCAATAGATCTAGGGTATACTGGTCTATTGCGGCTGTTGAAGTGCTCGGGAGAGTCCAACTAATTTCTAAGTTAAATTCAAATCTCTCTGGTGCTGAAATTACAAGTAACTTCAGCACTTACAAATAAGTGGGTTGTTAGTTAGATGGATCATGATTGGTTAATATTAAATACTTTACATTGGTAAAATATCTAAATTATCCAATCATAAAATGTAGTTTAGATCAGGTTCCATTAGTTAGACCGCATGTCAATTTTCATAATGACCAGACAACGTGAACTTAGGTCCGGGGTGGCCTTCTCATAGAGTAATTTCGGATAGGGTACACCGTCTGTTTGCCACGCTATCTATTTTCGGCCGGATAGGTTCGTGCAACTTCCTAAGTCTAATACCGATCCTATTCTTACTCTTATATTTCCTAGTCTCAATAGATCTAGTGTATACTGGTTTTCGCGAGTTAGTTCTTGAGTTTATCCAGAAGGAGATTCACTGTGGTCTAATTTTTATTCAAATTGTTCTGGTGCTGAAACTACAAGTAGTTTCAGCACTTACAAATAAGTGTCAATGTTAGAGATGGATTATGATTGGTTAGTTAGTAATATTGGACCAAGTTAACATCCTCCCCCCAAACACGTTTAGGGGGGAGGATGTTAACTTGGTTCTAACTTGGGAATTTTCAGCCAATCAGAATCGAGCATTTTACATGCAGCGCTTAGCAAATAGTTTTATCAATAAAATAATTGTATTTATATCCAATTATAAATACTAGTTTAGAACTGGTTCCAGTTGCCCTGCAAGTAGCACTGAAGGTTTGGACCACAATCAAAAACTTCCAAATACTAATGAAGCTATTACCTTATAAACTCGCAGATGGGGGGTGGGGAAGGGAAGAGCCGGAAATGTGACATCGTAGACCGTCTGACTGCTTTCAAAAACTATTAGGCAGAGCAGAGTTTTTTCACTCAAGACATGGAAAAAACAACCCAAAAAACGGAGAGAACTATTGTTCTGTTGGTTGATTTCAAATTGACTTATTTTTACAGCGCCCCTTTGTTGCATGATCACATGGATTTTTCTTCTGTCGGAAAGTATACATAAAACTAGTTCTATTCTATTCTGCTGGGTAGGTAGTGCGCTTCACCATTCCATACTTCTACTCTGGTTTTGCAATCATGGTGGCCAAGAAGCCCCCCAGACCCCAGATGTTCGCTTTCCTACAACCCCTGGATGCCAAAGTGTGGCTGTTCATATTTGTGAGCATGAACACACTCGCTGTAGTAAGTTCCCTCTATTAATTGTTACAAATGATCATCATTCTGTTTACTCAGCCACATGGCTCTTTTGGTTAAATGACTCTAACGTCTTAGGTTGATCGATAGCAATTAATTTGAGTAGTGTGAGATCTAAATAAAAGTATTATTAAATACAATTATAGGTGAAGGCTGTGTGCGAGTGGTGCAGCCCCTATGGACTCAACCCGAGGAATAGTCAGAAGCAGCACCAGAAGGAGGGGAAGAGTGGCGGCGGCGGCGGCGGCGGTGGCATCTTTGCCTTTTCTTCCGCCATCACCCTAGTCTATTCCCTCATGTTCCTCAACACACACCCCTGCAAACTTCCCCGCAGCCTCTCGGCCAGGCTGCTCACTTGTGTCTGGGCTGGAATAGCTCTCCTAGTAGTGTCCTCCTACACCGCCAATCTCGCCTCCTTCATGACTGGCAGGCTCACTTACCTTGACTTGGATATACTCAAGGTAGACCAACCAATATTTATACCATAGTTATCCCGTGTTTACACCCATGAACGAAAATACGAACAATTCCATATGGGTTTTCCGAGAGAAACTCCGGGAGAAATTAATAGTCATACGATTTCCATAAAATGGCAAAATTGGTATTTATTTAGTTCGAAACTTTAAATTGCGCCTAAAATTTTTAAATCAATTCTGCTCTCAAACCAACGTTGCAAAAAATTAATAAAATTTTTTTGGGTATTTCGTAGACCCGATGCTCCAAAATTTACTAAAAATATGTAATTTATATGATGTTACTTGTATAAAACGGACACTTAAATTGCTTTCGAATCATTATAGATGCTTGGGTGTTTCAAAAAGCATGACCCAAAACTTAAATGATAAACTGTTTTTAGGTTCAAAATATGAAAAAATTCACTAAAAAAGATTTTTAAAAAAATTTATTACTGCCTGATGGATCTCCCTTGGATCTACAGATCAATTTTTAGGTGCTTTTGAGCATTAAATTATAACTCGTTTGTGTTTATTTGTCGCTTGTGAGGAATTATTGCCCAAATTTCACGTGCAATTTTAGTTTAGAGTGATATCTTTTGCGTCTGGTAACGTCTTATTAAGACTTGATTGCCTATCTCCATTTGCATTTTACCTGTTGTCCTCAGCTTTTTTCCTCAGGTTTTTATTTTAACTAAGGTCAACAGGTGAGGACGTTGTACGGTTTAACTAATGTGCACAAGGCTGAGACACCTGTACGACAAGTTCTATCTCTTCCGAGCAGCTCGTAAAGATGACAGTGAAACAATTAAAAATACTGCTCTAGATCCGGATGAAACTATTGTATCTCTTGACTTGAAAAGCCTATAGACTAAAGTTCCCTTGAAATAAGACAATTGAAATTGCCTTACAGAAGCTGTACAGCCAGGAGTCCTCTCCTGAAGTTCAAAGATCCACAATCGAAAAGCTTTTGAATATGGCGATCAACAAGGCTATTTCAGCGTAATAATTCATGTTATGTTCAAATCCATGATCTAGCTGCATGCGCTTCCCTTGCTGTGAACTTTTCAAATATTTGACTGAAAAAACTTGAGTTTGCTTTGAAACAGAAAACACCGGATGGGTCGGAGCTACAGCCAATCGATGGCAAGAACGGTTTGTGTCCCTGTTGCAGCAGGAAAGTAAAAATTACATTGAAGTGGTTGAATGCGAGAGATGCTAAATCTGGTAGCTTTATAAATTTGGAATGTGGAATTTAAATCCGATGATGTTTGCACCTCGATAACCGAGATTGTCTGGTATTGTGAAAACTCCTAGCGCACGAAGATCAACGAAAAGCATACTCCAAAGGTTAAAATGGCCCTCAGGCATGTAGATGACTTTGCTTAAACATTCAAAACTGATCTAACTCATGTTTAGATCCCGCCAGTTCTCTACAGTTCACTCAGGAATAATTTTATCTAGACGGGTGTTTTCTGGATTTGAACATCAATGCGCCCCAACTCAGTGCAAGTGTATTGTTACCCAAGACACTGTACATAGCGTGTTTAGGAGTACATCTAGTTGGGAGCAATTGGATAAAGCTATGGAAAGTAACAGAATACAGTGGCTTACAGATCAGTACCCTGAAAATTAGTACGCAAATTTAGCAGCAGATGCCCTTTGCAAATTCACTGAGAGCAAAGGCAAGCCCTTGGACAGTGAGAAGAAATGTTTAACGCAATCACCAAGGGGTGTTAAGCCTTCAAGGCTTTTTAATCAAAATAGAGGTAACCAAAGCCAATTATCATGCAGCAAGTTACGAAATTTAAGCAATGTTCTGATTTGCGGAACATGAAAACTACAATCACTTTTAGCAGGTAAATAGCGCACTTATTATTTGTGAAGTCTTAGACAGGTCGAAAAGTCAAAGCAAACTGTTAACACTAGAGGCACTGCAAATCAAGAAGCAGAAGCTGGGCTTGAACACGCGCGATAAGTTCAGAAGCAGGGAGTTGACAATGAAAATTTAATATAATTTTTTGTTTTTACTCAAAAACGTACATGTCTAATCGAAGTTATGACTCAGAAACGTCCAGACAAAATAATTTACAAACATTTAATTACGTATAGAGGTTAAATGTATTTCTAATCTAATTGAATAATTTTAGAGAACCAAAACTTATGTAAAAGATTGTCGGTTGCGAAATGGTTTGAAAAAATTTTTTTCTCAAAAATTTGCATGTAAAATCAATTTGGAAGAAATAAACTTCTTACGATTCTTAAGGGCAGGGTATTTTGCGCGCTATATCTCCCAAATTAGCGTAAATGGCAGTTTTCACACCTGTGTAGTTTTGCAAAAAAAACTGTCGCATGAGAAAACTTTTTAAGCTTCTGAGCTTTGTTTATCAATGAATGTTGTTATGTGGGTATGAAAAGGGGTAAAACAGCTAACTTAAAGTAAAAAATTTTTTCCGAGAAATAACAAAAATATTCTTTATACTCTCTGGTCATTCAATTATCATAAATGAAAAACTCGAGTCATAATTTTTCATGCTTTTTACAAACATTTTTTAAAGTATTCGCCACAGTATGGGAGCTGTATGGCTATCATTTTTTGTCAACCTGGGATATTCTAAGGAGCAACTCAAAGCTTTGAGAAGAAAAGTGTGATGTTGATGCAGCTTTTTGAATTTTTTTTACTATGATGCGAGTTTGTGTTCTGGGTTTATTTTCAGATTAATAATCCCGAGGTAAAGTTTACTTTTATTTGTCAATAGGCCAAAATTGAAAGAAACGGGGAACACTTCGTTACAAGTGTTAACTGTTTTAAGCTGGGCCTTTATCATAGCTGTTTTGAGTTTGAGCTTGATTATAAACGTTTGTGGTTTTGATAGAATGTTACATATATCCACTTTTAGCCTAACATCTCACGCTCAACGTGTTTTGTCTGAGGTTCTTCCCTTTTCACTTGTGCGGTCCTACTTTTTGTGAGTCAATCGAGAAGCTAGTTTTCAAATCACGATGACAGGGAACTTTTCGACTAAGTGTTGATGCGGATGTAGTAGCGTCTGAAACTGTGCCTCAATGTGTGACGTATTGTGGTGTTGTGTACAGGTGCAGAAATTGATGCACTCTATCAAGTATGGGGCGGAGGAGGACTCGAGTGCGCAGAAATACATCACAGAACAGTGGCCCCAAATGGCGAGGGGTCTGCAGCAGAATCTAGTCTCTGGGTCCATGGAGGCCATACACAGACTCAAGTAAGATCACCGAGCATGACACAATACAAACCGATAATCGCAACACTCCACATATCCAGTTTACACTCTATGAGATAAATCCATGAGCTGATTGAAGCTTGTGGAACGTAACTAGGTGGTTTCACTTGTTGATCGCAACTCTTTTGACCTCAACTGTGTTTGCACCGCTGCTAATCCTTTGTAGGCGACATGTTCTAAGGACCCCATAAAGACCTATGTCTGTCTATCTGTAGGAATGGCACTCTGGATGCGTACTTTGGAGATGCACCGATAGTGTACTGGGACGCAAATCAGGACCCAGACTGCAAACTACTCACAGTGGGCAGTTCGTTCGGGGATGACTATTACGGCATGGCCATCAGCAGAGACAACATGCACAGCATCTTCTTCAACCAGGTGAACCAGCTGCTGCACAAGTACAGACAAAATTTCTTCCTCGACAGACTCAGAGAGAAGTGGTTCATCGACTCCAAGACACAGGTACAGCGAACAATCCCCACCTGCAATACGATTACAAAGTCGGCAAAATTCTTACGTTTTAATCCTTCCAAGACTATAACCTAGACTCAAGAAAGTTTGTGCTCAAAAAAGCCCAACTGATTTTCTGGCGCTAGCAGCCTTTATACTGACTTACTCACGTCTATGATGCAAACTGGTGGCATATCATAGATTCAAAAACTTAGTTTTTATAACTTGAGTTTTTTTGGCGTTTTTCGAGCACCAGTCATAGTGTGAATTTTGAGCTAAACCTTTGGCTATTTTAAAATAACTTCTTCTGATGAAAATCATAATAAAGTTTCTGTGAAAAGTGTCGTCTGTTGTTTCTCTAGTCATGTCTTTCCGACGACATAGAACATCGTTCTCTCGGTCTGGACAACGTGGCCGGCCTCTTCCTCGCTCTGGCACTCACTATCCTCGCGTGCGTGTTGATCTTGATGCTGGAACATTTCTGTTTTCGCTTCGTTGTGCCCCACCTACCAGTACAGAAGAACCCAGACCATAAATCACTCCTCTTCGTCAGCCAAGTAACACAAACCACAAATCATATCCCAGGCGTGGACTAAGATATCCCCGAAGAATTGACAATTGGTCTAAATTTTTCTGTGATGGCCAATTTTTCCATGTGTCCCTGGAATTTTAAAAACACTATTTAACTAACATCATAGAAAACGTGCCAAAATGCGGACTAAGCTACTTTTTGTATGCCAGTTTTTTGAAAGGCTTAGACCAACAATTTTACTGGTCCATTTTGGCATTGCGGCTGTTTTAAGCATTTTGGCCGAAAATGTAAATTAGTAAAGATAGGTTTTGATTGAACAAGAGGTAAGTTCCTAACCCAACCCAATGCCTTTTTGTGCAGCTTGGACGGGGGCCACTCTAGCAGAGTTTTGATTATCCCTAAGACTATTGCTTTCAGAAACTTCATCATCTCGTGCTCCAAAGTGGGTTATCTCGTCTAGAGAAACGGGAGTATGAGGATGGAACCCAAGCCCCCAAACCCATTCTCAAAGACAGAACACAAACAAGACACTCCAAAGGGTGCAATTCATTCCTCAATTCTGATCCTCCGCCACTCCAGTCTAGTCCACTCAGCTTGGGCTACAAAGTGAACCCGAACCTAATCAGTCATGTGGCTCAGTTCCCGACTAGCGAGAGGCCAGGAGATATTCGGAGTCGGTCCTTGCCAAGAAGCTCATTCCATAGTCTCTCTTACAACGGAGTGGGAGGAACCGCTGCTGCTGCCGCCGAGCAGGGAGAGGGAAGCAGAGTGTTTCTGGGTCAGATGATTGGGGGAGTACGGGAGCAGACACGGAAGTCATCTCTCAAGGAGAGTCAAAGGGACAGTCAGTTAGTCCGCTCTCCCCCTGGATCACGCAGGTAATCAATCTACAACATAAACAAAGTTCAGTGCTCTCAAAAGAATACCGTCTATGAGATTAGAAATGAACCATAAGGTTGTGAGCAGCTACAACTTTTTTCTTACTTTTTAGGGCTTCGATTACTGTTGCGTTTTAATTTTAATTTAATTCAAGTAGTAAATTGGTCTAAAGATAGGTTGAAAACGTCTATGTTTTGCTGCTTTGTTTCAGTCCTGCTGTAGATACGACAGAAACAATTTCAGTCAATACTTCCTCCAACAATTCTGAGACCAGTCAGAAACGAAACATGAGCCAGCATCATCCCAGACAGCGCAAACTGGCCAGGGATCATACCCTGGAGTACTCGGCCTCGGAGGAATGCGATAACCCTGAGAAGCGCCCCTTCACCACCAGATTATGATCACTCAACATGGATACAGATCCCGATACATTCCTCTCAATCCAATTATCAATCCAAATACACTCTCTTTAGATATAATATTACGGAATACGTGTTCGATGTTGTCATAAAATAATCATATTTAAGGATTTATTCTTATCAGAGCTGTTTTTTTGCTGCTGCTGCATTTAGGTTGGAAAAGCGTTTAATGTTTCTTTGGCTTTACTTCTTTGTATTGCTTTAGTTCAATGTCATAAAAACACCTAGTTTTCCGTAAGTTCGTGGAATGAACCGACTATTGTCCTAATGCCAGCATTTTCACTATGATTTCATTGCATATAGGTAGAGCATCATCTTGACTTTGAGCATTGGCGGCGCGTGTATGGAAGCTAAATTGAACAACAAGAAAGTTTTCTAAAAAAGGGATTGCAGTTGGAACATGTTTTCTTTGTGAACTTTGTAAAACCAATTTGTCCCAAGAAAAGCAGAGTAATCCCATTCATCAAAACGGCTCCGAAAAACTTAAGCAAAGTTTAGTACACTCATCCAATTGATATTTAGAGAACTAACTCCAATAAACACAAAAATGATACGGTCTTGGGGGTTTCTGAGGCAAACATCCAATATATCAAACACACGCAATGTCAAACTGCCTGTTATACCCTCGCCCGTTAGGTGAGATGTAAAATATGCTTCGTCGGTATTTTATATGCTTGTTGAGAATAAAACAGTTTCTAATAGCAACTTAAATTCAGTTCTGTACGGTTAAGTCTGGCTGACACTGACCTCAACTCATTCGAGAGACAGTGCCTTATAGGAACTTTTACATATGTCTTCACGTATAATTATATACTTATTTAAACATCAGACTTTTATATGTTAATCAATGTAAGTTATCTCTATAATATGTATGACTTTCCAACTGGTGACTTTAGCATGTATCATGTATCATCATAAATGGATGTTTTACTATGATATCCGTACGGATAACATTTCCCTCTTTTTTAATTAATGAGTATTACAATTTTCGTCCCACTTGTCCTCTTTTTAGTGTCTTTGGTGTCCTCCTTCTTTGTTGTCTCTCTATCAATTCGAGGAATGTCCGTTTGTTCTGTTTGATTGTGATGTTGCGTGATGAGCTCTCTCTCTCTCTCTCTCTCTCTCTCTCTCTCTCTCTATCTCTCTCGTTGAAAGGTCATCGAATTCCCCCCGGTGAGAGATAGGTTGGAGCTTGTTCATAGCTTCCTCGAAGTTCTTGCTGAATAATTCCGGTTTTTCGATAATGTATCGGGAGCTTTTTTGATGGACGGCGAGTGATTGTCCGCACCTGCATCTCGCGTGTTTTCTGGTGTTGCTGTTTCCATGTTAGTTTCGGTTCACATGATCTCATCGGATGAAATCTGGGGCGAAGGGTTCTTATCTGCTGTTTTGTTGTCGAATTTATCGTTTGGCGTGCTGGTATTCGTTGCTGAGTCTTGGATGTTTGCTACCGTGGTTCAATAGATCTGGTTGGAATTGTGTTGGCTTTTTTGGCTGATGTGCTTTTTCTTGTTCTCGTGGATCGTCTGATTTCCGGGGATTTCTGCTCTGATGTGGCTTTAATGTCGATCCTTTTACCGGCCGGTTTTTTTTCGGGGATGACGTTTTGCGATTATGATGCAAACCGCACGAGAAAAAATTGAGGTCTCGCACTCGACTTGGACTTTGCTTAGATTAACTTTGGGTTTATTTTGGGGGCTTATACTTCCTGATGTTCTCGTTTGCTGTTGGTGCAGAGGTGTATTGTCTCTTGAGTGTTTTTTTTTGCTCGATGGGTCTGCTTGCTCGCTGGGCGTGTTTGCTTGTAAACGGTTTGAATAGTATTTGAGGTCCTAATGCCCTGCGGTTTAATGACTGTTGAGTGACCTCATGAATCGTTTTTCGGGGATGACCGTTTCGTGCTTGTGGTTGTTCCCACTTTTTTTGGTGTTTTGCTTGCTTGTCTTTTTTCCTGAAACTCGTGGTTTGGCTCTCGGTAAGTGTTTTTACTCCGCAAAATCCTTAAGGTTGCCGGCCTACAGTTTCCTTTAACCCTTGGGTCTGGTATGAAAGCAAGACCATCGTGCCTAATTACTCGCGGCTTTTTGCCCTCACGCAGTGTGTGGAGTGTAATTTAGTATTGATACGTTTTCGATAACTTTGAATTGTGCCCCAAAAGCCCCGGATTTTTGGTTTTCCTTGCTATGGTTCCCGTTTTTCTAGCGATTTGTTCCAAACGAAGTCCCGTTTTATGATCTTTATTGTGTGCTGGGCTTTGAATTGGTAAGACTAGCGGTGCTTTCTCGGGCTTCTGTTTTTCTTGGTTTATAGGTGGTCATATTGGCTTGCGTATTTTAGATTTTGTGGGGCGTTTGTTTTTTCGCTTAAGAGTGCCTATTTAAAATTTATTAGTTTTAAGGTTTGTTTGAAATCGGTAGATGCGCATCTATTGGGGATTTTTTGAGTATTTGTTGGTCAAACTCCTCATCGCTGCTCCAAGTGTGATTGCATCCGTCATTTTCGTAGTGTCCCGTCGGTACTTAGCAGTGATGTCTGTAGTTGGAGCGGGATTGAGAGTTGGTTCGGGCAAGTACTGATGATCCCTTGACCTTGTCGTTATTTTGCCCCTGTATACCAGGTCCAGCTCATGTTTGCTACTCCCTTCCGGTCCCACATGGTCTTCGCTGGTAATGCCGGTTTCGTTAGTATCTTTTCACCTAAAATTGATAGCTTAGTGTTTTCCCGTGAGAAGTTTGATAGTTTTGTTGATGTGCTATTGTTACTCAATGTATGTTGGCCTTTCTGCTGAAATGGCCTTCAAAAGGTGTGTTTTCACGGTTGCCTTTGGCGTTATGCGACTTGTCTTTTGAATTTCGGCCGCATCCGACTCAAGTTTGCAGGGACCGTTCGTTTCATCGATTTTTCTGATCGCTAGTTTTGATTTTTAGGTTCCAATGAGCCTTTCCGCAAAATCTATTGCCCTGTGGTCATCCATGGTGCGAATATTAGTTTGATGTTGTTACTTTTGCAATATATGGGGATTTTAGGCTCGAAAGCCTTGTGCTTGATCGCATCGAACATTACGTGATACGCCGTGATTAATGATATGGTTTTCTATATAATTGATAATTGTGTCCGCTTTATTATTTCTTAAAACTTTCGCCTGAGGGAATCGCGAGAAAGGATCGACTCCCACTAAGATATAGACTTCATTGTCGATTTCGTCAAGTCATGGACCCCGAAACCCAAATGGATTTCTTCATTAGTTTCGACCAACGCATCGAGTGTTTCATAATGTTTTTTACAGGAGACTACTTCAAGATCCTTACCACTATCGCGGCAATTCTCAAACTTTAGTGCGGTTGAAACAATGTCCCAAGTTTGAAACAAGTAGGGGTACCACACATGATTGGCTGCCTCCAACAAGCCGCCTTGTCCTTGATGAGTTCAGTCTAGCGCGTCCACTAGTGTAGCCCTCAGCTGTTTGGGAATGACGACCCTTTCTTTTTACAGTAAAATGCTAAGCCTGACTGAAAAGCGGTGACGCACGTTGTAAAAGAAGGATCCGCATCAATGTTTTAAGTTGTTTTAAGTTGTCCAATTTCTGCTGTTTCACAATATTCATCAGTCGTGACAAATTACTATCCCTCTTTGTGGCCGCTGCAAGGAACTCAATGTCCAGGACTTTCCTCAAGTTTTTTTCGGAACAGTGGTGGGTCCTCCTCCTCTATGGTAGCTGTTTGAAAATCTGTGTCCTGCTTTTCTTCTCCCATCGTCTAACATTTTGCGTCTACTTTTTCGTTTTCCACTCTCTGGAATGTATGACTCTATGATGACGGGATCACTTGGTGTTTCACTTCGCCAAGTGTAAGTTCAGCCAGTGGTGGTTCAGTAAGACAAATTCGTCAAACGAGGCTTAATTAATTGGCGGGAATCTAAGTTGGGTTTGATTGCCACTTTGGCATTTTCTAACTAACCGTTTAAATGATGGTAAGGCCATGCCTTGTTTCATTTGTTTGTTCGTTTTTGGCACGCGACTGAATTGTTTTTAGGCTATCTGAAGAATTATGAATTGTTTGTGTATCAGCAAAGCGACTATTTTGAAACAATTGACTTTGAACAGTGAATGCAGTTTGTGTTTGAATCGAAAACGAAGATGCTAATGTTTCGTTCCGGTTGAGCTTTTTAGCGCCTAAACTTCTGATTGGATTTTTGTTCAAAGATATGTTTGCGATGCTGCTATCTTGAAATTCTAAACAATTTACAAAGTCGTCGACTAGTGCGACAACGAAGTGTTTGTCACAGTATGCTGGAGGTTGTAGCTTAACGACCGGTTGCCTTGAAATGCAATCAATTAGGTCCATTTTACTGCCTGATAGGTGATGCTTATCAAAACCGAACGTAATAAGTCTGTAGATCCAGTTAACCTGCTTTGGTAGGTTTCATTAACTGTTGCTTTGTAGGGCAGTTACTAATGCTTGCTGATCTGTAATTTAGGTGAATCATCTACCGTATAGCGGCCAAAAAGTCCAGCTCGTTGACTGATTCTACTTTTGTTCACACGAACGTGACGCATATGCGATATGGTTGCCAGCCGTCCGATGTCTCCAGCTCGAGTGCTGCAGTTATTCCCGTAGGGCTAGCATGACAAATTATGTTTCTCTTTTACTTACAAATTGTCTGTTCTCGGTGATGTTTTAACCATGTTAAGTAGAATTAGAATCGATTGAAATTGGTTTTTAGGCCACATTTTTGTATAAAAAAAGCCTCTGCTATATTATCTGTAAGAAGTCCCTTGTAATCCATTTCAAGTCAGTACTGGCAGGACAGATTTGAGAAAAATCAAATTTGTTTGTTTTGATTTTAGTGGGTTTTGAGCTATCCGATTTTCTAATTTTTTTCTCAATCGCATGAGCAAAACACCAACATTTTCATTTTAGTTCGGTGTCTGAACTACCTTATATACAAAAACTAACATTTTAGTCTTCAATTGGACCACCTTGGATAACGCAGAGTTTTGATTTGTGATGTTTCTCGTATGAAAATTCTTGTGTCATTCTTGTTTGGGATTGATAGGTTGAGATCCTTATAATAGTAATTCGAGCAGTGATGAAATTAACGCAAAAGTTTTTTTGACTGTCGAGAAAGAAAAGCAACAAACACTCTGAATAATTGCTTTC